ATAATGTCAAATTAGTTTTAACAGTCAATATATCCCCCCATTTTAATTACTATTAATTTAGGGAGTGCCTTACGCCAAAGAGGCATAGACCTTAGGACGTGTCCCTCTGGATTCGAACATGCTTTCCTGTACTACCCCCTAGTGCATTAGAGTAGTATTTTTACTTATATTATTTGTTTGTTAGGCGTTGCGACGTGTTGTTAACAGCGATAGTTAAACTTTAGCACCTGTACAGTGCAGCTTAAGGACCTCTAATTAGTTATAGCCTCAAACGTTTAAAAATCAAGGATCTGTTGAGATAAGTAGATATAGGGGAAGGATGAAGATTTAGTTCCTTTAAGGACAATCGGATAATGGTTGTGAGTATCCAAGACCATTGAAGGGTCGATTGTGAGTCTTTAGGCCCGAGAGGGGATGATGAAAAAAGCGATCCAGCATCGAAATCCCAGTAGTTGGATAATGTCACGACGTATCATAAGCAAGTATAAGGACAAATTGCTCGAACAATAGTTGTATATAGATAATTTTATTAGATCCTTGTGAGAAGACTATTAGGCGACCTAGTGTTCATAAGCAAGCCTTATTATGATTTCGTCACCAATATTAGAATACTAGTTCCAGTATTTTCAAGCTAATAAACCCATGACAATAGTTTTGGTTAAAATTCAAGATGATGGAACACCTTAACTAGGTTGGAATACTATTTGTAATCCAGATTCGTGTGTGTTTTATCAAAATAACGTAATCCTTTTAGAGGCATATTTCGAAAAGTGATTTTGTTAGGATGTCGGAGATTAATTTCTGTAGTTAAGCACTTTATAGCAAGTCGACTGTGTCGACATTTCACGTTTGCAGACGATCATCAATCGTAGCATGTAATTTCTGGAAGTCCAAACCGGTGAATTATTGGTTATTGGAAAACTTTACGAGGAGTTTAGGAGTACATCTATAGTAGAAAACGAAGTTCTACGACTAGCGAAGTACAAATGGACGAAGCCGTTACGGAAAACGCTGGCTAGATATTAGGTTGATCTTTTGAAACCCCAATAACGTAGTATAGGAATTATCTTAAGGTGCGCAAGCAGTAGGATTTCGGGGACGAAATTTCTATAAGTGGGGGGGAGAAGATTATTAATAACCCATTTTCGCCTTATAGTATAAACGACCAGTTACATAAATAGATTTTTTGATAGGAGACTATTTATGATAAATAGTCTTGACGAAATTTGTACTAATCGTAAAACCGAGAGCGTGCATATAAAGAACTCCAAATTTGACTTCATAAGAGGAAGTTATGATTTTAGAAGTTTCAGCACAGCAGTGTACGACACATAAACCAAAATAGAGATCGGTTGATTGTTAGGAAAAACAATCTAAACATGAGTAGAAGATCTTGTCCATATTATTTTGTCAATATAAAGATAGTTGAGAACGGAATTCATATGAGAGAGTTATAATGTTTTATATGGGCTATAACAGTCCAAGCCTGTTAAAAATACAATTTTAAAAATAAAATTAGAATTAGATGACTGACTCTAAATAAAAGTTGTAGATCTTGTCGATAGCTAAGTTTCGATATAAAAAATGTCGAAAACAGAGCTCCTATGGAGAATACATGATTTTTCGAAGAATCTGAAAATCCACACGCGTAGACAAGGTGTGTGGCACGCACTGAAATTCCACCCAGAAGCTGCCACGTGTCACCTACCCGGCCAAGTACGCGGCGCGTACCGACCAAACGTGTGACGCGCACCGACCAAGCGCGCGGCACCCACCCTTTTTCATGATATAAATAAACAACGATTTTCATTCATTTCTCTCATCCCTTTTTCTCCAGAACCTCTATGGAACTCCCCCGATCCCTTAGTCCCTTTACTTTCTACTTTCCCACTACTTTAGCGAGGCCCTGCAGCATTAGAGGGCCGGAGAAATAGAAGCTCTCCGGTCAGAGTTATGCTAGTGCAATCTCCTGGTTTCACTAAAAACTTTTTGTAAGCTAGGCTACACTTACTACGCTTTTAGTGTAACTTATATTTATATTCATAGTCGTTGTTATGCATATATAAATAAGATTTATCAGAAATTCCAGTTATAATGCTGATTGATTTACTTATAGGAGAGGTGTCTGGAACGGTCACCGTTGGCTTGGTTGTTCGATTTCAGAAAGACTATACGCCGAAATGATTTTGCCTCCTAACTGTCCGGCCTGATTGATCCTTATTTGATAGAACTCTCGGTATTCTTCGGGATGAGTGAAAGATCTAGCTTTCATTACCAGATCGTCATAGAGATTAATAGGTTAAAATATTACAGGTTAATACTTGTTTGACGCATTACCCACCAGTTGGATCGCCAGTAGAATCGCCCAGATAGATGTCAATGGTCGGTGTAATTGTCCAGATAAATTATCTCACTATAATATGTATTACAATACATGTCCATGTATGTTAGGACAAAGAACTAATAGAGTAGAACTAATAGAATAATCTATATGTGCTCATGTGTTAACTGGTAAAGTAAAAGTATAAATATACATGTATAAGTATAAATGTATATCTCCCATGCTAAGAGTTCTTTATTGTAATATTTTACTATTTCTATCTATTATTATCAGATTACTCGTCTCTTTGTTCTTTATTTTAATATCATCCAAACTTCATGATTTTTATTATTCCACACTTTAGCGAGTTAATGGGTTCCAACAAAATGCTTGTTATTGAAGGTTGGTCTACTTTGTTGTAGTCAGTTTTACGTATCATCAGTATTTATCTTATGTTGGTCTTTGAAGTTCCTAATAAAGTGATTCGTTTCTAGGAATGTCTTGGATCTTGCTTTTTCTCAAGGGTGAAGTTCAAGAGAGAAAGATACATTGGGTTAAATGGCAAACTAATTTAGCTTATAAAGAAAAATTGGGAATTAGTATTGAGAGTTTGAACGGATTCAACTATGATTTATTACACAAGTGACAGTGTAGGTTCGTTGATGACTCTAATTCATTGTGGGTTAAAATCATTAAGGCTATTCATGGAACCCATGACAGATTTTGACCGCCAAAATTAAGGCAAAATCGATTGGTGTTTGGTCTAAAAGTGTCGATTCTATTACTCAATTACATGAAAAATGCATTATTTTGCACTCTTTTCTAAAGAAGTCTGTAAGTGATGGGTCAAATACTTTTGTTTTGGAAGGATATTTGGATTGGAGACATTCATTTGAATGATCAATTCTAGAGATTTTTTTGCTAGAGTTGGAGGATTTTTTTTTTTTTTGCTTAGAGATCGGTGGTTTTAACCAAGGTTGGAATTAGAATTGATGAAGGGAATTGAGGGGGAGCTAAAGAAGATCAAATTTCGGTTTCATCTCAACTCGGTGGTTCATTTGTTCCTTCGAATACAAATAAATAGGTTTAGGATCTTGATTTCTCAAAGGATTTCATTGTTACTCTACTAGACAATACACTTACAAGGTCACTTTGGAAGCTAGAATTGATTCTGCTAGATGGAATTCATGTGTTCCTAAATGATTAACATATTAGTTTGAAGAATTCTTTTAAACATGGTGCCTAACATATCTAATGTTGATAATTGAGGTGTTGACTTAGACTCGGTTTTATGTCATTGTTGTTCGAACCATAATGAAGATGTGGACCACTTATTCCTTATGTGTGAGGTCGCGGTTCTTAGTTGGTCTGCACGCACCATTCATTGGTTGGGTCTTGTGATGCCAACTTCAAACTCGGACAAAGATTTATGTACGTGGGTTGATCCCCTTTCTATCTCTAATGCCAAACAGACACCTTTAGATTATCTTAATGGCGACTTCGTGATGATTTGGAACTTCTTAATGCTTTGGTGTTTGGAACGATAAACTTTCACTAAGATCACATTTTTTATCGTGTAGAATTGCATTCTTATAATTGGTTTGTATACAGAAATCACAAGCTCAAATGAATTTGGGTTTGGTGGTTTACAAAACCCCTTATTGGCTATTACTTTGTAATTGATTTTGGTTTTTTCCTCGATTTTTACTAGTTTTCATAATTTCAGTAGTATCTTACTTTTAATTTATATTTTTCATCCCAAATATTTTTAAACATTAATTTGATTATATTATCAAACAAAACTTCGAATCTCAATTAAATTATAGAAATAAATCTTAGCAAACAACATATCATGTCATTGTCAAAACCAATTGTTAACAATATATTGAGGTTTTGGAGCCCATAACATCTTAGAAGCTGTAAAAAGGCGGGCAAACAATTACTCAATGATTCTATTTTTGTCTTTTTAGATACATGATCCGTCTATAATTTAAAATATTATTTTTAATATAAATCGTTGAACGTGAACTTTCCTTATGAAGGAAACCATAATAACTTAACTAATTAATACATATCTATTTATTTATGTTATGAAAAATTATATGTTATCTATTTTTTCTTTGTAGTTATCTTATTCATTTAAGATTATGTTCTCTTAATCTTCTTTTTGATTTTGATACTTGTTGGTCTAATGAATAAAAGGATAAATAGAAAAAAAAAATGTATTGATTTTTCATAAGTATTATATAATATATCTAAAAGACATATATCCGTTAACGAATAAAATATAAATCACGGTTAATTTTAGCAAAGCTATACCATTTGCTATTTCTGTCATCTGTATTTATCTATATTTGTTTGGACGCAGATATGCATAAAAATATAAAATATATTTATTTTTACGACATTAGATATGCATTAAAAATATGTCCCTGTGTAATTTTATACGGTTTTTGTGATTCTATAAAGGAAGAGAAGTTGTATCGCATGCATCGATTGTTGTACATTCCGCATGCAGTTTTGGTATACAGCGTGTTTTAGACCACAATTTGCAACAACTTAAAAATGTCCGACGACTCATTATCTCATTTTCTATTGTCGGCTGCACCGATTAAAAAAAACGCGAATATTTTAATATTTTATTCGTTTTTTTAGATCCACTTTTTGTATAAATTCCCATATGATTTCAACGAATTCCTCCGTACAATCAGAGATCCCCAATATCGGTTTTCTCTTCCCACGTATTATTCCACTTGTAAATCCTCCAAAAACCCCCAAATGGGTTACCTGTTATCTCCTACATCACCCGCCGGAAAATGGATGGGCTTTGTCACCGCCGTGTGGGTTCAAGCCATATCCGGTAATAATTACACCTTCTCAAACTATTCCGACGCCCTTAAGTCTCTAATGGCACTCACTCAGCTCCAACTCAATAATCTCTCTGTCGCTAAAGACGTCGGAAAAGCGTTTGGGATCCTCGCTGGTCTCGCCTCCGACCGTATATCACCTTCCGCCCTCCTTCTCATTGGTTCAATTGAAGGTTTTATTGGTTATGGCGTCCAATGGCTCGTCGTTAGCCAGAGAATCCAACCTCTTCCTTACTGGCAGGTAATTATAAATAGTACCTTTTCAGGTCTAGCATTCCGTCGAACAGTTGGTGTGCGATTGATTTAATTTGTATTCTTTCCAAAACCTTACGTACATATCGCTGAACGGTAAAGATATAACAGTGTTCAAGTCATGCATTTTGTCGAACTGTTGATTTGTGTTTGATTAAATTTGTGTTTGCAAACAGATGTGCATATTTCTGTGTATGGGAGGAAACAGTACGACATGGATGAACACTGCGATTCTAGTGACTTGCATTCGTAATTTCCGGAAGAACAGAGGTCCAGTTTCCGGAATCCTTAAAGGCTACGTCGGATTAAGCACTGCCATCTTCACCGATATCTGTACAGCTCTCTTCAATAACGATCCAGCACGTTTTCTCCTCATGCTAACCGTCGTTCCCTTCGTCGTTTGTCTCTTCGCCATCGTCTTCCTCCGTGAAATTCCACCGTCTTCCACCGCCGCGGAAGAAAAATCCGAAACTCGTTACTTCGCTATATTCAACGTCCTCGCCGTCTTTATCGCTGTTTACTTGCTAATCTTCGACATCACCGGAGACCATGGCCTTTCACTCTCACGAGTATTTTGCATCGTTTTACTCATCCTTTTAGCTTCTCCTTTATCAGTTCCGGTGTACCTCGCGATTCAAAACCTTATCCGTTCAGACCACAAAACCCTAGACGTAGAAGCAACTGCAAACACAACAACCGAACCTTTGCTTATACAACAAGAAGAACAAGCCACCGAGACGGTGGCGGCAGTGGCAGATGACTCAAAGGCATCGTTAGCGGTGGTGGAAAAGATGCCGCCTGTGATCGGAGAAGAACACACGGTGTTTGAGGCGTTGCAAACCGTCGATTTTTGGATTTTGTTTGTCTCGTTTCTGTGTGGGGTAGGAACAGGTCTCGCAGTTCAGAACAATATGGGTCAAATGGGCCTGGCTCTTGGGTACGCTGACGTGTCAATATTCGTTTCGTTGACAAGTATTTGGGGCTTTTTCGGTCGGATCGGATCCGGGTCGATTTCGGAGTATTTCATCAAGTAAGTTTCTTGATCCACCACCCTTCTCTCACTTCCATTTTTCAAATCATACAAATTACTTATTATTAAATCTAATTATAATTCTATTATTAAAAATATTAACTTATAAAAATAACTTAAGAGTTGAATTGATTAGTTCTCACATAAATATACTGAAACTGATAATGCGAAAAAAAAATCAAAATAATATAAATTGTAATTTTGTAATTGTCAAATCAAGGGTTTTTGACATTAAACTTCTTAAGTTTGACAACTTTTATTGGTTTTGTCTATATTATTTTTTGTTTGTTAGCACCAAAATTTGTCAAAGTTTTTTTTTTCATTTTTGTCATTATTACTTGTAATAGTGGTTTTCTAGATTACCCTTTATATTTTTTTTATATATTATACGTATTCATACAAGGAAAAAACGTATTTATATAATAAAAAAAGTTTAACTAAACATTATAATAAAAAAAGTTTAACTAAACATTGTATAAATACGTTTTCTTTTTAATAATACTTAGGCTAAACATAAACATTAATGATATTTTGAATTTTTGATATTTTTAAATCACATAGTAAACATAAACATTATGAAAGTTTGATATTTTGAAGTTGAAAACTATTCATCAAAATCATGGGGTCATCTAAAGCATTAAAGTCGAACTCTTGGTCACTTTTTATGAAAATGACGACTTTAATGCGAGAAATATCTTTTTTTCATAAAGATTATATTCTACATTTAATAAATTCTACAAGAAGCATGCGAGTAAACTAGTAACTATGCTTATTTTTTATTAAAAGGATTAAAATCGAATTAGCCATCGTAGGTGGAATATGATGTGCGCGCTTTTTGTATTGTTTAACGAAATAATATGATATGATAATCAAAATAAATAGCCATCTTTATATGATGTCATAGTCAAATTAGCAAATTATAACTCGCTTTTTAGCATCTTGTTAAAGATTTAAATGGTATTAACTATTAAGTAGGGTATATTCTTTTAAGATTCACCTCTAAAATCCATAATTCTTTAATCATGATGACCTCACAACATTTAGTTTAACTTATTCTTTTTTAATTTATAATTAGTCTCTTTCTTTGCAATTTCCAAGAAATTTCTATAACTTAAAGTCTTTAGTGTGATTATATGTTAAAAATATTGGTGTTCACTAGATATTTTCATATGCATGTGGTTTTTTCTTTGTATGGACCACTATCACTTTATGGGCGTTGGGTCTATTCCATCTTTATAACCATAAAAATGTCACCTATTTAAAATGGATGTCACAAATGTTTGATCATGACATTATTTTGTATAGTGACATAAAGATTACTTGACCCAATGGTTTTGTTAGCCCTTAGTTAGTCCCAAACGTCACGTATCCGTTTTAATTCTCGTTGAGTGCATGGAAAATTAAATCACGTAAAATTTGCAAAACTTAGGATTTAATGCAAAAAAAACCTTCTTCCCTTTCTGTATTAAGTAAGTACATTAATTAAATAATAAAGAACGCGTAAGAGAGGTCGTTTGAAAGTCAATCTTGTTGGGATGCTTTTTTGGTGTTATGTCTTTACTTAGAAACTTTTTTGGTTTGCTTGCAAGGCTTTTATTAGTCATGATGTTGGCCAACTCTTTTAACTCTTTGTCCCTTTCTTTCATATTATGAAAAGCTATATATGATTATATGTATTACTTTCCTTATAACGTTAAATATGTCATTTCATCTTTTAGGAACCATATATATTGTTTCTACTTATCCTACGTCTTGTCTAATGTGGCACTTGTATGGTTGTGGATATTATTGGGGCCACAAAAAACTATCTGTGTACAAATAAAAAGTTGACATTACAATGTCTTAATAAAAAAATATTAAAAAAACGAGAGATGATGTTATAAGAAAAATATAAATGAAAGTATATTGATATTTCTTGCATTCAGATAATCAAATCTATTTTTTTCGATAAAAATGTTTACATATTTTTTTTACTAATTATAGAAAAGCCGGAACACCAAGACCTTTATGGAATGCAGCATCTCAAATTCTAATGGCGGTGGGTTATGTTCTTATGGCCATAGCCATGCCCGGTTCACTCTACATCGGTTCGATCGTGGTTGGAATCTGCTACGGGGTGCGGTTAGCCGTCACGGTCCCAACCGCATCTGAACTCTTCGGTCTCAAATGTTACGGTCTCATTTACAACCTCCTCATTCTCAACCTCCCACTCGGTTCGTTCCTGTTCTCCGGTCTGCTCGCCGGATTCTTGTATGACGCGGAGGCTACCGCCACCACCGGTGGCGGCAACACCTGCATCGGTGCACATTGCTACCGTCTTGTGTTTATAGTGATGGCTTTCGCGTGTGTGGTTGGGTTCACTTTGGATGTGTGGTTGGCGATTAGAACTAAAGGTTTGTATTCGAGGATTTACATGAGTAGGAAGTCGAAGAAGTCTATGGCGGCATCTGGTGGTCGGTGATGGCGGCAGGAGGTGGAGGGTTGATGGGAAGTATTAATTCCCGGTGACACTCTTCAGCTTTATAATTAAAAAGTAGATTTGGTATGGGTTTTAAGATGCATTCCACTTTTTTATGTTTGCAAGTGTAAAACTGGTTAGTAGAATTCAGTAGTTGGATACCTATGTCTATTCTTTTGATTATGTATAAAAAAAGGTAATTTCCTTTTTTCAATTAAATAGTTCAATCGAAATGAAACTTTGTATCTATTGAACATCAAAGTGTCATTCCATTATGCATAAGAATTTAGTGGTTGAGGTGCAAATTTCTATATAGGAGGTCCAGGGTTCAAATCCTAGCATGTCCGAAATTTTATCAGCGTTCCATTATTGACCTCTTACATAGATCTTGGAGGGAGTTTACTATGCCACTTAGATGATCTTGTGTCCCTTTTTTGTGTTTGAGTGTATTCAGTTAATTGTCAACCAACTAGACATTCAATCTCATTCTATTAAAGGGATAATGACATAAAAATATAATATATTTTTTGATTTGTACATATTTGGTCATTGAGTTTTTTCTGTCCACATTTACCCCTTAAACTTGTTAAACTGTACACATTCAGTCATTATGACTGGTTACTCCAGGTTAGCCGGGAAAAATGATTTAATAAGGTAATATATTTCTCATTTTGTACACATTTAGTTATTAATATTTTTGTATACATCTAGCCCTTAATATTTTTTTTGTTTCAAAATAAGACATTTTTTTTGTATTCATTTAGTACTTATGAATGATTTATTTAGGTTTTTTTCACGACATCTTATGTGGAACAATCAATGATGAGGTGTTTGGGTTGTTGATGCTTATTTTCATTGCGTTCTCGACTGCTTGGTTGCGTAGGTCTTGTGGTTTGACTTAGGTCTTGTATTCTGAACGTCGTAACTTCTTCATACGATATCAAATTTTAACGATCTTTATATTCACGTGTTCGTTTTTTGAGTCTACTACAATTGTCGTTAAGATTACTCTCGTTAAAATGTAGTATATTTTTAGTTAAGATTTTATAAATAAATAAACATTCATACATGCATTCATAAAAAACGTATGCATATAAAGATCATATGTAAAAATATATTACTTTTAAACGGGAGTAATTATAAGCAAAAGTTGTAGTAGACTAAAATACGAATGCATAGATATAAAAATCATTAAAATCCGAGATCGTATGAAGAACTTATGACGTTTACAACACATGACCTAAGCAACCAAGTAGTCGAGATCGCGATGCACATAAGCATCAAAAGTCCTAAACACCTCATTAATGATTGTCTCACGTAATATGGCGTGAGAAAAATCTAAAAAAATCATTTATAAGTATTGAATGAGTATAAAAACAAAAATGACTTATTTTGCAACAAAAAAATAAGGACTAAATATGTACAAAATATTAAGGACTAAATGTGTACAAAGTAACAAATATATTACCTTATTAAGTCATTTTACCGGCTAACCTGAAGTAGCCGGTCATAAGGACCGAATGTGTACAGTTTAACAAGTTGAAGATGTAAATATAGACGAAAAAAAACTCAATGACCAAATGTATACAAAAATCAAAAAAATATATTACCCTTTGAAGTCATTATTCCTCTATTAAACTATGAATTATGAATGCTTTTAGTTCCTTTTATTTATTATGTTTTTTTAACATCTTAATGCTTTAAATTTCCAATAAACTCAAGCCAGCAAAATGCTAGAAAACAAAACATCACAAACAATTGAAAGGGTTTTGAATCCAGTTTGACCAATGTATACTAAGTACTAACTTTACAATTTCAACTCATAAAACATGTATATGGAAAAGTAACTATAGAATTAAAAATACTATCTTTTTTAAGCTATTCAAAAGAAAAAAGATACAATTTTTTTGAAAAGGCTTATTAGAACATCATGTACCATTTGAAAAAAAAATTATCATTCAATCTCATTCTATTAAACTAGGAATTATGAATACTTTTAGTTCCTTTTATTTTTTTATTTTTTTTTAACATCTTAATGCTTTAAATTTCCAATAAACTTAAGCTAGAAAAATGCTACAAAACAAAACATTACAAACAATTGAAAGGGTTTTGAATCCAATTTGACCAATGTATACTATGGGAGGAGGGAGTCATTCCCTCCCAACCTACTCAACTCACTTCCGCATCAGTTTATTTTTCTCTTTTTTATTCATCTTTCTCAATCCACAACATATAAAAATCTTATCTTTTTCAACCCACTCAATTAAAAAAAATACAAATAACTAAGGTACAAGTCTTCAAACACATGATATAAGAGAAAAGGAGAGAGAGAAAGTAGAGAGAGATGATGAAGCGGGTTAATGAAATCAATTAAACAACCCACCACTTCCAACCCTTCCAACCCACCGAAGAATGAGTGGTATCTTGGAGTGGGTTGAGTGAGTTAAAAAAGATATGATTTTTCGTGTGCTGTGGGTTGTGAAAGATGAAGAAAAAAAAAGAGAAAAATTGATGTGGTAGTGTGTTGAGTGGGTTGGGAGGGAATGACTCCTCCCTCCCTAAGTACTAACTTTACGATTTCAACTCGTAAAACATCTATAAAAAAAAGTAACTATCGAATTAAAAATACTATCTTTTTAAAGCTATTATAAAGAAAAAAAATACAATTTTTTTTTAAAAAGTTTAATAGAACATCATGTACCATTTGAAAAACTTTTCCCATTTAATCTCATTCTATTAAACTATGAATTATGAATGCTTTTAGTTCCTTTTATTTATTATTTTTTTAACATCTTAGTGCTTTAAATTTCAAATAAACTCAAGCTAGCAAAATGCTAGATCACAAAACATCACAAACAATTGAAAGGGTTTTGAATCCAATTGGACCAATGTATACTAAGTAATAACTTTACGATTTCAACTCGTAAAACATCTATATGGAAAAGTAACTATCGAATTAAAAATACTATCTTTTTAAAGCTATTCAAAAGAAATATATATATATATATATATATATATATATATATATATATATATATATATATATATATATAT